ACCTCCTTCGCCTATTAGGGTTTGTCAGTGTAATGCTAAAAGCAGTCCTTTGGTTGACTTGTGGGTAATTGATTCTCTGACGCTGACAACGTTTAGGAAAATGAAGGGATAAATGATGGAAACGCCAGGCGGCTGCCGGAGAAAACACCCAGCCCAGGGCCCCTAGACTGGAGCAGTGCCTCGGAGCAGAGGGAGACCCGCCACATAAGAGGTGAGAAGGGGTGGTCCTGGGGGGCTGGGCTGGGGGTGGGCAAGAAAAGTTAACCTTCTCACCAACTCAGAAACACTGAGTCCAAGAGGCCCACCACCATCCTCTTTGCCCATGGACTGGTGAGTACATTTGAGCCCCTCTCTGGATAAAATCACCCCTCAATAGGGGCTCTGGAATAGGCTTTCGATGGTGCCGTTTTGGTCTTCTCCTAACTTAGGTGCATGGCAGACTGGCTCCAGGTGTCTGTCACAGGCGGGTGAGTTCTCAGTGCTCCTTCAAGGTGCATGGGCAGGCTTTGGGAGCAAGACGTGAGTTGGCTCGATTTTCCTGTCAGTGATAGGATTCTGCCATGGATCAGAGAAAAGCCAAGTGGCTGTGCAAATCAATACTGCTCATTGATCACTCGGAACCGATTCAATATAATTGCTGGGAAATTGATAACATTTTGCTTTCTTGCTCAATTGCAGCTGCACTCTTTACTCCAGGTTTCAGACACAGTGGTCTGTCCTTGGAGTCCTCCACCACCCCACGCTTGTCTCCTGATCCTTGATTTAAGTGGTCCTGAAGTATTTGTGTCTTTCACCGTAGATCACCTCAAAGCCCTTCTGGAAGGAGCTAGGGTGTCACTCTTTTGAATGACAGTTCAAGATGCTTCCTCATTAAAAACTTAGATTTCTTTTAACTTGGAATGCTGTCGGTGAAACAGTTTATAAACCAGGGTGCTCAAATTTCAAAGGGGAATATTCAAGGAAGGTTAAAGATGTTATTTCCCTGGGTTTTCAAAAATGGTCTTGCGAATTTGGGTGCTTGAGACCTGACCTCTGTGATCCTGTGGAATTCTCCTGGCATTCCTGGCATGAAGGCTGACAAAAAGTGCCAATGGATGTAGGTCAAGTGTCCATTTATCCTGAATCCAGGCCATCTCAAGTATATCTAATCACAGAATCTGTAACCACTGCAGGAAGCTGACTGATGATCGTAATGATAGATTATAAACTCTGGAGTGCCGTCAGTCAGCAGAGAGTTGTCAGCAACGCTGTTGGGCTTGGCTACACTTAATTCGGTGAATTTTTACTCCTTAAGTTGTCATGTGGAATGTATCTGTTGACAGCTATTTTATTTTATTTCTTTCTTTGGGATAAAGGGGTCTTGCTCTGTCACCTAGGCTGCAGTGCGGTGGCACTATCATGGATCACTGCAGCCTTAACCTCCTGGGCTCAAAGCAATCCTCCCATCTCAACCTCCAGAGTAGCTGGGACTACAGGCATGTGCCACCAGGCCTAGCTAATTTTTTTTTTTTTTTTGTAGAGATGGGTCTCACTATGTTCCTCGGGCTGGAGCTATTGTATCCTTAGTGACACAACCTTTATTCTTATCTTACCCTTCACTGGATAATTCTTGTTTCCCATTTTCATCCAATGGGATCTGAAAACCCATGGACTAGGTTCTCATAGCTCAGAGGTTGCTGTGCTGTCTTGACCTATGCCTCGGGCACATGACCTGTGGGGAATGTTGAGCCTCTTGGTCAGCCTGCGCAGGGACTGAGCCTCATCTTGAATAAGTAGGGTATTACCATGCTTACTATGACTTGCCCTCCCCGGCAAAGTCTGCCCTCCTCTAAGGTTCTTTTCAACTCCCTGAAACCACTGGGTATGCATAGAAGGGAACCGATCAAGCAGGTGTCCCCGTTTGTCCCCATTCTTTCTTCCCCGGAGGCCCAACGACAAAGAGCGAGAAGCTTTCCCTTTTTTTCAGACCCTTTCCCACGTGCAGGTGACGGAGGCTGAGGCGGCCTGTGAATGGGGAGTGCTGTGAATAGGGCATTGTACCTGGGAGGCTGAGCATGGCGTGGGAGGACGTCTGCTGGCCTGGGAATGGGGAGCCCCATTCTGAAGGGCCCACTCCAAAACTAATGTGATGGAGGACCATGGAAAAGGCATTTGTCTTCTCTGGGCTCGTTTCCTCAGCTGTAGGATGAGCATGAGGATGCCTGTTCCAGAGGGAGGGTGCAAGGATGGGTTGTGGAGTCCGTAAGGGCACAGGGGCTGGGAATCCCTTGTGCCAGCTCTCAGGAGAAGAGGCAGGAGCTTAGGAGGCAGAGGGAGAGCTCAAGCTAAGAGGAAGGGCTTGAGCTTTATTCTAGAGGGAGTGGGGAACCCAGGGCTTCTGAGCAGGGGAGGGCGGTGATTAGGAGCCTAGATCTGTGTGAATCTTTAAAAGCTCAGCCGCAAAGAAGGCAAGAAAGCCAGGCTGCAGCTGGGAGACAGAAAAGGCAGTGGTTTCTGCCAAGTTGCCCTGCTTGCATCCAAAGGTCTCCCAGCGTACGAAATTCCACTTCTGGAGAGGCAGCCTGGACCAGGTGGGAGACGGGGGACCAGACGTGGTTCGGTGCGATGAGGAGGCGGAAGACTGCCATGCCTTTGTCCGAGGAGGAAAGGCCTAAGTCAGATGCGAAATGTATCTAAAGAACTGGTCCTGTGGCTGCAGGTGCGGAGGTTCCGGCCCAGCAGGCGAGTGCTCCAGCAGCCCTCGGGCCAGATCCCTTTCTCATCTTTTCTCTAGCCCCAGTCCTTAGCGGAACAGTACAGGCTTAACAGATATTTGCAGAAGGAGACTCGGGCTTGACATGAAGAGATAAACTTCCTAATAAGAACTGCCTGGGTCGGGCACGGTGGCTCACGTCTGTAATCCCAACACTTTGGGAGGCCGAGGTAGGAGTATCACTTAAGCCCAGGTGTTTGAAACCAGCCTCGGCAATATAGTGAGACCTTATCTTTACAAAAATGTTCAAAATTAGCCGGGCATGATGGCACATGTCTGTAGTCCCAGCTACTCAGGAGGCTAAGGCAGGAAGATTGCTTGAGCCCAAGAGTTTGAGGCTGCAGTGAGCTATGACTGGGCCACTGTACCTCAGTCTGGGCAACAGAATGGGACCCTGTCTCAAAATAAATAAATAAATAACCACCCAGAAATAAGCCCCTGGGCCTGGGGGTGGTGAGCTCCCTGTCATTCACTGGCAGAAGCCGGAACTGGAGGACGGCCAGTGCCTGTGTTGGGGGACGCTCATGTCAGGGAGGGAGGGGCTGGCCCCTGGGGCCTGGGCTGCCGCTCCCTCCAGCTCTGCAGGTGCAGGGTCTCAGGCTGCAGTGAGCAGCCCCCATGAGTGCTGCCATTCCCAAGGCATCCCTGGGTTAGAGGAGACTTCAGTGCGTTCAGAAAGGAGGGTGATGCCCTGAGAGGGCCAGTAAGCCCAGAAGAGCAAGGTGGGTTCTGCCAGCACTGGCCGTGCCTGCCAGAACTCCTCAGTAGAACCCAGGAGCGAGAGGGAAGGAAGCCGTGTGAGGAGATGGTGGGAAAGGCGGGGGTCCCGGCCATCTCCAGGGCTGGCTGGGCCTCCGGATGGATCTCCATCCCCACAGAGTACACATCCTGCTGAGAGACGGAGGCACCCATGGGAGATGGGAGAACCCAATTCCTAGGTGGCCAAGTCCCCCCAGGCCATGTTTCCGTTCCGGGCAGGTCTGGGTGGACAGCGGTGGCACTTTCTTTGGCGGAGGCGGGCTCTGTCCCCTGCTGGCAGCTCTTCGCCTAATCGCAGAGCTCGGTGTTAGCAGGCCACACTTAAGGGTAATTACAGGACCTAATGGGAAGACTGCGCCACGCTGGCTCCCCGGGCTCTCCTGTCTCTTCCAGGACTAAAACTCTTCAGCAAAATCTAAGCATTTGGAGCAAGACTTAGAGCCCTTCTCACCTCTCTCCAACTCCATACAAAATTAAAACAGGAAGAACCTGCCCCGTGGGAGGGTCAGTCTCAGGTAGCCACAGCAAAGGTTTCTAGAGAATTCCTTATTCATTCAGGCACCTCACCTTACCAGATCCTTACAGGAGCAGAAGCAAAAGGTCTAGTTACCAACTCGGTTTTATGGCCAGGGAATCTGAGGCTCAGAGAGGTGAAACCACTTGTCCTGGGACACATAGCTAATAACAGCAGAGCCAGGATTTGAACTTCCAGTTTGTCTGACTCCGAGCTGAGCGGTTACCCTGGCTGCCTGCTGTCAGTACCACACTGGAGGGAGCTGAGAGAGGGACACCAAGAGAAGGTTCTTTGACTTCCCCTACGCCTTGCTAAGGGATCCCACTTTATTATTATTATTATTATTATTGGAGACAGTGTCTCACTTTGTCCCCCCGGCTGGAGTGCATGGCATGATCTTGGCTCACTGCAGCCTCCGCCACCCAGGTTCAAGGGATTCTCGTGCCTCAGCCTCCCAAGTAGCTGGGATTACAGGCACGCACCACCACTCCTGTCTAATTTTTGTATTTTTAGTAGAGATGGGGTTTCACCATGTTGGCCAGGTTGGTTTCAAGCTCCTGGCCTCAGGTGATCCGTTCACCTCAGCCTCTCAAAGTGCTGAGATTACAGGCATGAACCACCATGCCCGGCCCCAAATCCCACTTCCAGCACCTTACAGCAAGGGGGAATTTCACTCCTATCACTGGTTTTCGGTTCGGCCCTATGTGGTTGGCAGGGTAGCTGCGTCAGGCCCATTCTACAGATGGAGAAAATGAGGTCAGAGCTGGTGACTGGCAGAGGCAGAACGGGAACCCAGGTCTGTCTGACGTCCAGAGCCTGGGTTGTTTTTCCCATCCCACAGCTTCCAGAGGACAACGACCAAGTCTTGCCATGGAGCCAAGCCCAGGGCTAGGCCAGTAAATGGCATCCCGATGGCTGTGGCTGCACCCGACCTTCTGCTCCTGTCACTCTGCAGGTGCCGCCCCTGGGTGAAGGATGCCACTCTGGGTGTTCGTCTTCGTGATCCTCGCCCTCAGCAGCAGCTCCCACTGCTTCCCGCATCCCCCTTTGGCCCTCAGGTAAGCAACCCCTGGGGAAAGTTCCCACCACTCCCAAGCCATCCCTGCCATGGGCAGCTGTTAGTGAATGCAGACTCCTCTCAGCTGGGCCCGGCTGTGTCTCCACCCGCTGTCTGTCCTTGCAGAGGAGGCAGACACAGCGTCACAGAGGTCGCTCAGAGGGGCCTGGGTCTCTCTTGGGGTGAGTGGGACAGATAGCAACAGAAGGATCTTGCAGTGACATGGTGAGTGCAGCCGTGACTGTCCTCTCACCTGGCCCCCACCCCGCCCTCTGACCTGACTCCTTCTGCACAGGATGCGGCGGTACACAGATGCCATCTTCACCAACAGCTACCGGAAGGTGCTGGGCCAGATGTCTGCCCGCAAGTTGCTCCAGGACATCATGAGCAGGCAGCAGGGGTAAGCAGAAGTTCTAGTGATTTCTTCCCACACCCTGCAGCAGAGAGCAGGAGGTTGGTCCCTGCGGAAGGCCAGGGACCAAGTCAGATCTCTTTCTTGGCACAGCAAGTGTCATTCCTGGACTTTCCATAGCAAAAGGATTCCAGTGTTAAACCTCAGCTTACCTCTACACCTATCACGTGCTTCTTCCGTGAGGCAAAGCCATTACTAGGCTCCAACAGTAACCACACTGGTAGTAATTACCATTTAATCATGACTCCGTGCCAAAAACAAAGGCTCTGCCCTGGGACATTTACAGACATTGGCACAGTGGTGGGCACACAGGATACCCTTGGTAGTGTCACCTACTATTATTCTTAGTTTCTTGCTTTCTTTTTTTTAGAGACAGGGTCTCATTCTGTTGCCTAGGCTGGCATACGGTGGCACGATCATGCCTCATTGTAACCTCAAATGCCTAGACTCAAGTGATCCTCTCATCTTAGCCTCCCAAGTAGCTGTGACTACCAGTGTGCATCACTACAACTATTTTGTGTTTTATAGAGATGGCGTCTCACTATGTTGCCCAGGCTGGTCTCGAGCTCCTGGCCTTAAGCAATCCTCCCACCTTGGCCTCCCAAAGCGTTGGGATTACAGGCATAAGCCACCTTGCCCAGCCTTTAGTTTCTTTAATCTTTATAACAACCCTACACAGTAGGGACTCTTATCCCCATTGTACAAGGTTAATTGCTTCTAAAGGAAGAGTGGCAGAGTCTGGAGCCACAGAGTGGCAGAGTTTGGAGCCAAACTGCCTGACTCTATTACAGCCTGTATGCTTTTTAGTTTTTACTTTGAAAAAAAATCTCAAACTTACAAAAAGCTGCAACAAAAGCACAGTCAACTTCCACATGCCCTTCCAATTCCTAGCATTTTATCACATTTGCTTACTCTATATCCATAGCTAGATATAGGTATATACTGGCCGGGTGTGGTGGCTCACGCCTATAATCCCAGCACTTTCGGAGGCTGAGGCAGGCAGATCACTAGGTCAAGAGATCTAGAACATCCTGGCCAACAGGTGAAATTCTCTCTCTCCTAAAATTACCAAAAATTAGCCGGGTGTGGTGGCAGGTGCCTGTAATCCCTGCTACTTAGGAGGCTGAAACAGGAGAATCACTTGAACCTGGGAGGTCAAGGTTGCAGTGAGCCAAGATTGCACCATTGCACTCTAGCCTGGGCAACAAGAGTGAAACTCCATCTCAAAAAAAAAAAAAAAAAAAAAGAAGGTATAGATATTTACACACAGAAACACATAATCACATTTAGTATTGTTATCATTTTTGCTGAACCATTTGAGAGTAAATTGCAGTTCTCCTAATACCTAACTAAAGGACTTAATCATTGTATAATTATCAATTATACATATTCACATTGTGCCAGTTGTCCCAAAATGTCCTTTTTTTTTTTTTTTTTTTTTTTTTTTTTTTTTTTTTTTTTGAGACAGAGTTTTGCTCTTGTTACCCAGGCTGGAGTGCAATGGCGCGATATCGGCTCACCGCAGCCTCCGCCCCCTGAGTTCAAGCAATTCTCCTGCCTCAGCCTCCTGAGTAGCTGGGATTACAGGCATGCGCCACCATGCCCAGCTATTTTTTTTTTGTATTTTTTTTAGTAGAGACGGGGTTTCACCATGTTGACCAGGATGGTCTCGATCTCTTGGCCTCGTGATCCACCCGCCTCGGCCTCCCAAAGTGCTGGGATTACAGCTTGAGCCACCGCGCCCGGCCCCCAAAATGTCCTTTATAACAATGATTTCTTTTTCTGATCTAGGACCCAATTCAGGATCATGGATAACAATTAATTGTCATGTCTCTTTAGTTTCTTTTAATCTGGAATCATTCCTCAGTCTTTCATGACATTGACATTTTTGATTAGTAAAGGCTAATGATTTATAGAATGTCCCGCATGTTGAATGTGTCAGACACATCCCCATGATTAGAGGATGCATTCCTCTAATGATGATTGGAGGATTCAGGTGATGCATTCATAGAAGTAGTGTTGTGTCCTTCTCAGTGCCTGGTATCAGGAGGCACAGGATGTCAATTTGTGCCATTATTGGTGGATTATTAGTAGATGGTAACTTTGATCAGTTGGCTAACATGGTATCTGCCAGGTTTCTCCTCTATAAAGTTATTTTCCCCTTATAATTAATAATTTGTGGGGGGACATTTTGCAACTGTGTACACTTGCACTACTGTACCCTTCACTACTCCGTATACTACCTCCCTAAGTGTGGCAGAATGTAACTCAGTTGGGTGGAAGAGTCCACACCAGATACTGAAACAGGCAGAGGGAGACACCCCTGCCTCTCCACGTCCTACCCAAATAGCAACTAGTTTTCTTTTTCTAACCACATAGAGAGAGAAACCAGGAGCGAGGAGCAAGGGCACGGCTTGGCCGTCAGGTAGACAGCGTGTGGGCAGAACAAAAGCAAATGGCATTGGAGAGCATCCTGGTGGCCCTGCGGCAGAAGCACAGGTATGGGCGTGAGTGCATGTGTGCATCTAGGGACTTCAGGGCTTCCTACCCCGTGGTTTGCCAGGAAAAGGAAAGAATCCACTCCTCTCTAAAGGTATGGGGCTCTACCAGACAAATCAAGAACAAGGACCCTCCTGACAGACATTAAGAACTAGGAGAGCGCCCGGGCGTGGTGGCTCACGCCTGTAATCCCAGCCCTTTGGGAGGCTGAGGGGTGAGGATCGCTTGAGACTGGGAGTTTGAGACCAGCTTGGCCAAAATAGTGAGACCCTATCTCAATAAATAAATAAGGACGAGGAGAGTTCTTTAGACATTAAGGGTGGAAAATGTCTGATGGAGACCACAGTTTATCCATGTCTGTATCCCAGTGCGCAGCCAGAGGCCAGGCTCAGTGTCCATGCCTGAAAATGTTACTCACTGAACAGTTCTGGGAAATGACCCAGAAATCTGAATTTTGACAGGTGTCCCCAAGATTCGGGTGCAGGTGATCTGACAGGCATGCTCTGGATCCCTTGCCAAGTTCAAAAAAACTATAAAGCCAAAGACAGACCAGCCCTCTCACACCCTGTGGTAGCTGAGTGTGCGCAGACACACGATCAGCAGAGGAGAGGCAGTGACGACCGTCGTTCCCAGCTCACTGGCCCTCATGTCTCCCCTGGGAGTCAGGAGAGATCCGAAATGAGTTTCCTCATTTTACAGAGGAAGAAAAGTTAGGCAAAGAGGGGGCAGCAGCTGGCCTCAAGTCAGGGACTAGGAGGCCCAAGACCTGTTTTTCCTCCCTGGAACTTCTTTGCACAAAGCCCCAGTTCATGAACAAAGTTTCCCAAAAATCTCGTGGCTGTTTGGAGAAACTCAGCTAGGCTTTAGAGCCTGATTTTTTTTTTTTTTTTTTTTTTTTAACTCTCGTCACCCAGGCTGGAGTGCAGTGGCGTGATCTCGGCTCACTGCAACCTCTGCCTCCTGGGTTCAAGTGATTCTCCTGCCTCAGCCTCCCGAGTAGCTGGGATTACAGGCACCCACCACCATGCCCGGCTAATTTTTGTATTTTTAGTAGAGATGGGGTTTCACAATATTGGCCAGGCTGGTCTCGAACTCCTGACTTCAGATGATCCACCTGCCTTGGCCTCCCGAAGTCCTGGGATTATAGGCGTGAGCCAGAGCGCCTGGCCTAGAGCCTGATTTAACTGTGAGCACAAGCAGGTCCCAGTGTGGCTCTGCTGGGCACTTCTGGTCCAACCTATTTAGCAAATCCAGTTCCCAGCAGAGCTCTCCATGGCCTTTCTCAGTTTCTTCCCAACCTGATCAGACACCACCAGCCCAGAGATTTCACCACCTACAAGCAGCAGTAGGCCTACAGCAGACAACAGGAGGGTGACAACCAGGCTGGGAGGTGAGAAACGCCTGGGCCCCAGGCCTGGTTCCGCAGCTAGCTGCACAGCAACACACTTCTTAGTTTCATCCCTATGAAAGGAGGAGTTAGCTCTGACTATCTCCAGGGTCCACAAGGCAAGAGTTCTAAAATAATGTCTCTAAGAATGCCTCCTCTGTACCTTGCAGGCTTGGATTAGGTAATTGTTCACCTGCTATGGCTCTCATCAGGCCTCTGTAGGGTGAAAATGGCTCCATGGAGGGCTAATCCTAAGAATGCAGGCTTTGTTCCTGCAAGTGAAAAGCCAGAGGCTTCAAAGAGATTGAAGTCATAGAGCCAGCTGAGCTCGCAGGAAGGGGCCTGAAGGCTGCTACAGCCATTGTTCCCCCACCAGCTCAACTGCTGCAAATAGCAGGATATCACTGGTAGGCAGGAAGAAGTTCCTGCTTTAGAGTGCAGGGTAGAGCCATGTGACAGACAGCATACTTTTGCACCATCATACATTGTGTCCATGTAGCAGCCCTGTAAGGAAACTGAGGTTCGGGTTCAGTCATCCTTCCACCCCCATAAAGACCATCCAGTGACTATGACATGCCACGCCCTGGACTGGGGGCACAGCAGGGTACAGGATGGCAGTGGCCCCTGCTCTCATGGAATTCATAACGCCCCAAGGCAGCAAGGAACTAGACAAGTTCTTATACAGTCAATTATTTAACTGTGATGAGTGGGAACAGACACTGGGGTGCGGTGACTGTGAGGCTGGGAGAACGCTGAGCCTGCCTGGGGCTAAGAGGCAGCTTCTTCAAGGGGAAGTGACTGGCCCAGAGTCTTGGTGGGAGCTGGCTGGCAGAACAGAGAGTAGAGGCTAAGCCCGGGACTCACCTTGCTGGCACGCGTGAGCATCCTTCCCTCCGCCCCACACTGCCTCTTTTGAAATCCAAAAAACCAGCTCCTGCCACAGGAGCACCCATCGCCCCAGTTCCATGCGTCCCACTCTAGCCACCCTCACTTCAATCCCCTGGATTCAGCTTGATCTTTCTTTCTGCAACAGGAACCAGGAATGAAGAATCCTCCTGTGACCTGGGCTACCTGTAGCCAAAATGAAACTGGATCCAGTCAATCCTCTTTCATTTCTGACCCACTTTTTCCTTTGTAAATACAATAAAATTCCCCCACACTGGTGTGCACTTAAATGTTCTTTCCTATTCAGCCTAATTTTTTATGGGTTTTACATAGTTACATTTCCCAAAGTGGTATTACAAGGTATAATTTTTTTAAAAAAAAGCTCACGTTTACCAAGCACGCGGAGTGCAAACCAGGTAGCTTCATGCATAGAATCTCCTATGCCCCTCGCATAGGCTGATGGCGGGTATTGGCATCCTCCTCCGTTCACACACAAGGAACTGAGGCACAGAAAGTGTAACCCAACTGCCCACAGTCACACCTGGCAAATGAGAGCTGGGATCCAAATGCAGGCAAGTCTAACCCGAAACCAGCTCTTAACCACATTCAACTACCTTGGGTCAAAGTCATCCTTTGCCCACAGGTGACTTGCTCATCTATAAGCAATACCATTTATTCATTCAACAAACATTTATAGAATACTGACTCTGTGCCAGGTACTGTTCTGGGCACTGGAAAGATCGTCATGAACAAGGTCCCTGAGATCCCTTGAACCTGGGAGGCGGAGGTGGCAGTGAGCCGAGATCGCGCCACTGCACTCCAGCCTGGATGAAAGTCCAAGATTGTCTAAAAACAAAAACAAAAACAAAGCTTAGAGGAAAGATGAGGAACCAGCAAAGGAGGCTGAGAAGCAGCAGCAGTGAGGTAACGGGAAGGCCACTTCACAGAAGAATCCCAGAAGCCAAATGAAGAGCGTTTCTGGAGGAAAGGGTTGATCCATTCTGCTAAATGCTGCTGATGGGACGCGTCAATGTGTGTGTGGTGGGAGAGAGAATAATAAAGCCGAGTCAATATAGAGTATGTCAGACGTTGGCAAGTGCAAAGGATAAAGCTTTAAAGGGCTGGGGAGCGCTGGGGGGTATAATTTGATCTACAGTGTGTACATGTGAAGGCCTCACTGATGATGTGACATTTGAGTAAAGACCTGAGGAAGAGAGGGAGTTGGCTTTGTAAATATCAGAGTAAAGAACCTTCCAGGTGGAGTGAAAACCCAAAAAAGGCCTGGAGGCAGGAATGTGGGGGAAGGACTAGTGAGGGGGTCAGTGTGGCTACCTGGGCAGGAGCAAGGATGTGAGTGGAAAGAAAAGAGTCCTGGAGGAGCATGAGGCCAGCTCATGGGGACACTTGGCAGCATTAAAAAAAAAAAATGGTTGAGTTTGTTGCTGTTGTTTTCTGAGACAGAGTCTCACTCTGTTGCCCAGGCTGGACTGCAGTGGTGTGACCTCGGCTCACTGCAACCGCCACCTCCAAGTTCAAGGGATTCTCCTGTCTCAGCCTCCGCCTCCTGAGTAGCTGGGATTACAGGTGTGAGCCACGGCGCCAGGCCCACAGTTAGGATTTGGATCCCACACTTGGTGAGATGAAAGCCATGGTGGAGTTTAAGCAGAAGAATGACAGGCTCTGACCTATGTTTAAAATCACCGAGAAATGGTAAAATTCTAGATACATTCTTAGGGCAGAAGCCACTTGCTGATAGACGAGGTGTAGGGATTGGAGAGAAGTCAAGAATGCCTCCCGAGCTTTTGGCCTGAGGACTGGAAGGATGGAGTTGCCACTCTGCAGCTTTGGGGGTGGGGATTATTAAGCGTTTAGGTTTGAATGTTGAGTGTGAGGTGCCTACGAAAGGCCCAAGTGAGGAAGCCGAGTAGGTACATGACTGTCCAGGTCCTAGTTCAGAAGAGAGTCGCCCAAGTTCAGGAAAGAGGTCTGGACAGCTGGTTTGGTTTGGTAGTTGTCACCATTTAGAAAGTCTTTAAACTCAAAAGACTAGTTAGATTACCAAGGAAGGCTACAGGAAGAGTAAAGTCCAGGGACTGATCCCCTGGAAATGCCTACATTTAAAGTTTAGAAGAGGGCCAGGCGCGGTGGCTCACGCCTATAATCCAAGCACTTTGGGAAGCCAAGGCAGGAGGATCACTTGAGGCCAGGAGTTCAAGACCAGCCTAGCCAACATGGTGAAACCCTATCTCTACTAAAAATACAAAAATTAGCCAGGCATGGTGGTGCATGACTGTAATCTCAGCTACTTGGGAGGCTGAAGCATGAGTATTGCTTGAACCCGGGAGACGGAGGTTGCAGTGAGCTGAGATCACACCACTGCACTCCAGCCTGGGTTAAAGAGTGAGACTGTTGGAGAGAGATCCAAGATGGCTGATCACTAACAGCTTGGGATTGTAGCTCCCACTGAAAGCGCAAAGAATGAGAGGACGCCACATCTTCACATGAATTCTTGTTGCTCACGCACCAGGAGATTCCCAGCGGAGGAGCCCCACGGGTCGCCAGCGCGACTCTTGTGACTGGCGAGGTGGTTTTGCCGGCGCCTCGGAGCGACGGTTCTTGGTGCAGAGTCGGAAAAGCACCATCAATCTTAACGCCACTGATTTGGTCGGTGCAGTGGGTTGCTCAGATTTCGGCGCTGAGAATCAGTAAGTTGGACGTCCACTCAGAAACCTAATTACAAAGACGGTGAATTCAAAGACCACAGATGGATAAATTTATAACGAAGGGAGGAAAACGGTCAAAAAAGGCTGAGAATGCCCAAGATCAGAACGCCACTTCCTCAGCGGGGGATCACAGTTCCTCATCAGCAACGGAACAAGGCTTGATGGAGAACGAGTGTGTTCCAATTACAGAAGCAGGCTTCAAAATGTGGATAATGAGAAACTTCTGTGAATTAAAAGAACTTGTTTTAACCCAATCTAAAGTAACTAAGAACTTTGCAAAAAGATTTGACGAAATGTTAACAAGAATACACAATTTAGAGAGGAATATAAGTGAATTGATGGAGCTGAAAAACACAATAGGAGAATTTCGTGAAGTATGCACAAATTTTAACAGCCGAATTGATCAAGCAGAAGAAAGGATATCAGAGGTCGAAGACCAACTCAATGAAATAAAACAAGAAGACAAGATTAGAGAAAAAAGGATAAAAAGGAATGAGCAAAGTCTCCAAGAAATATGGGACTACGTGAAAAGACCTAATCTACGCTTGATAGGTGTACCTGAATGTGACGAAGAGAATGAATCCAAGCTGGAAAATATGCTTCAGGACATTATTCAGGAAAATTTTCCCAGCCTAGTAAGGCAGGATAATATTCAACTCCAGGTAATACAGAGAACACCACAGAGATATTCCTCAAGAAGAGCAACTCCAAGGCACATAATCGTCAGATTCACCAGGGTTGAAATGAAGGAGAAAATACTAAGGGCAGCCAGAGAGAAAGGTCAGATTACCCACAAAGGGAAGCCTATCAGACTTACAGCAGATCTCTCAGCAGAAACCCTACAAGCCAGAAGAGAGTGGGGGCCAATATTCAACATCCTTAAAGAAAAGAACTTTCAACCCAGAATTTTATATCCAGCCAAACTAAGCTTCACAAGTGAAGGAAAAATAAAGTTTTTTGTGAATAAGCAAGCACTCAGAGATTTCATCACCACCAGGCCTGCTTTACAAGAGCTTCTGAAAGAACCACTACACATAGAAAGGAACAAACAGTATCAGCCTTTCTAAAAAAATTATCAAAAAGAGCATCAATATAATGAAGAATTTATATCAACTAATGGACAAAATAGCCAGCTAATGGCAGTATTAAACTCACATATATTATTATTAATTCTAAATTTAAATTGACTAAATCCCCCAATCCAAAGACAGGCAATTTGAATAAAAAACTAAAACCCATCAGTATGCTGCATCCAGATCCATCTCACATTCAAGGATACACAAAGACTCCAAACAAGGGATGGAGAAAGATTTACCAACCAAACAGAGAGCTAAAATAAATAAATAAAAAGCAGAAGTTACAATTAAGCAACAAAGATCAAAAGAAGCAAAGGACATTATATAATGATAAAAGGATCAATGCAACAACAAGAAGAGCTAAAGATCCTAAATATATACGCACCCAATACAGGAATACGCAGACATACAAGACTTATAAAGAGACTTAGACTCCCACATAATAATAGTGGGAGACTTCAACATTAATATTAGACAGATCAATGAGACAGAAAATTAACAACGATATTCAGGACTTGAACTCAGATCTGGAACAAGTAAATGTAATTAACATTTATAGAACTCTCCACTTTAAATATACAAAATATACACTCTTACCAGTACCACATCATATCAACTTAGAAGTTTAAAAGAAATCTTGGTTGGCTCCTTGTCTGTTATTCTCTTCCCTCATTTTCTTTTATATCTCCATTATTAAGGACAATTATAGGCATACCCATATTTAGACTGCATTCTAGCCCAGGCAATAAAGCAATACCCCCATCCTCTCTCCCTCTTCCTCTTTCTCTTTCTTCCTCTTCTTTATAAAATTCTTTATTATATCTAAAAAAATGAAGCTGATAATATCTCTAAGTGACTTTTAAAATGTAAACTGTTGAAATATAAATTGAATGCACACATCACAAATGTACAGCCCCATGAATACTCAGAAAGCGAGTTGTCCCAGCCCAGAGGCCCTCTGATGCCCCTTCCGATCAGCACCCACCAAGGGCAACCAGTTGTCTGAATTCTGGTCACTGTATGTTAAAACTAACTATATGTAAGTTTTGCCTGTTGAGTTCACTGTGTGAATGGAATTATACTGTAAGTTTTCTTATGTTTCTTTTCTTTTACTCTTTATTTATAGGATTTGTCTGTGTTGTTGTATGTAGTTGGAGCTAGTTTATAAAAAAAAAAAAAAAAAAGAGTGAGACTGTTGGCCGGGCGCGGTGGCTCAAGCCTGTAATCCCAGCACTTTGGGAGGCTGAGGCAGGTGGATCACGAGGTTAAGAGATCGAGACCATCCTGGTCAACACGGTGAAACTCCGTCTCTACTAAAAATACAAAAAATTAGCTGGGCATGGTGGCACGTGCCTGTAATCCCAGCTACTCAGGAGGCTGAGGCAGGAGAATTGCCTGAACCCAGGAGGCTGAGG